AAGTCACTTAGCGTGCACGGGCAAAAGCCTGGGGCCGTTCGGGCTATCAAGCTGTCTCGAATCTGTGAAATCATAACTGTGACTTATACTGACGTCGTATTTGTTTTTTTTTCCCGTGATCACCAGGCTGTGAGTCACGTAATTGTAAAATGGGAAATCTACAACGGAAAAGTGACGAAACGAAAGTATCGTGAGCGCGTATTATTATAATGTATGCATAGGCATACGTGGACTAGAACGATAGAGGAAAGAGAAAGGAAAAAGCAAAGACAGGCGCTTAAAAAAGATAGGTAGGGTCACACCCTCAGATATGTGCGACGATTCTCGAACGAATACGTATACGTGTGCTGATCTTTGTAATTATAAATTGTGAATACATGTGACTAATATTATTTTCTTTGTTTTGCGCATGTTATAATTTATAAGTAAATATAAACGAACAACACTAACCCGATAACATTAAATCTAAATACAGTAGACCCCCTATAACGCTTAGATACGTTCCACGCTAATCGAATTTTACCTTGTAGGAACGATTAAATACATGAGCCAATCGCAGCCCGATAGGTGGGAACTTTACGGACTAAGGCTGTTCGAAAGGTTTTCTTCTATAAAATTGACCGATTCTAGACTAATTCGACTCAACATTTCCAAAATACGTATAATTTTTTGGGAATAATCTGTATAAACTATGCTATAAACAAAAAATTATAGGATTACTTACCGAGTGTGTACCGTTCGACTACGCCGTTGCTTAAAGCTGGTTTTCATCGCGGAACAGCACACGAAACGACGGCCGCAATTTCTGATAACGAATTTTTCGCATAAAAATAACTTGACCTTTGGAGACATCATTAATATAAATAATTTTTATGGACGTTGAATAAGAAGTGTTTCTTTCACAAGAAATGTATAAAATTAGTGCTGTATTAGACTTACGGTACCTAATTTACATACTGTGCAGACGATAATAAACTCAACTTACTAGCCTAAAATCTCCGTAGCGTGTTGCCAGGCGGCAGAAAGCATATATATAATTATAATAAAGTTACAATAAATTAAGTTAATATATAATTATATATACAGTACCTAATTTATATATAATTAATATATAATACTAAACAGACTATAGCAAACTCAATTTAGCCGCTCCGTAGCCTGGCGCAGGGTCGGAGGAAAGTAGTTCGGCTGCTCATCCACTATTGGTCCAGACTCAATCAATCTTATCGCGAAACGACGTTATAGGAGGTACGTTATACGAAAGTTGCTACAATTTTTTCGCTACGTTATAGGAATTGTCGTTATAGGAACGTACGTTATAGGGGGGTCGACTGTACCAAAATGATTAATTTACTGTGTTTTTGTTTTTTCTTACTTCTGTCTTTAGGTATTCAATATTCGTTAGAATAGTGATTTAAATATTCGATATTCGGCCGAATAGCGAAAAATAGGCTGAATAGGCCGAATACCGAATAGTAACTGAATATTCGTTACATCGCTAGTTGATATTCTAATGGGTAGAAACGAAGCACCATGATCTTAGATTTGTTAACATTAATACTAAAACATAATTTATACAGTGAAATTAATCATTCTGTGTAATCCAATTGGAGAATTTACTAACATTATCAAATCATCGGCGTAAGTAAGAATCTTTACATAACAATCTACCAGATCGCATTCCGCTCCTTCCAAAGTACACAATTCCTTAACAAAGGCGTTAATATACAAACTAAATAGAATTGAGCTTAATACAAATCTCCGTTTGATTTTTTACGCGTAAAAATAGATTCGTATTGTTTCCATTAATAGTACAGCAAGTTTTCAATTAGTCTGTAGTTGGATTAGACAATTAACAAATCTAAAACTTATGGCAACATTTATGGAGGATTGGTACATAAAATATCTCTATCCGGAGAATCGAATGCCGATTGTAATTCTAGGAAAAAGGCAGAAAATTTTCCACGTTTTCTCCTTAATCGTTTTTGAATACAAGTGTACAATACAAAAACATTACCCAAGGTTTAGAAACCAATCTTAAAAAGTTCAGTCAAATAACATACAGAATCTTACAGAATATGTTTGAAATAGAAGGTAACAGCTAAGGTTTGGACTTTTGGGTGCATTTTTAGAATGGATCCGGTGCTCATTCGGGTGCTTTCTTTCAGTTTTGGGTGCATTTAAATGCTGTATTATTAAAATTCAAAATTAACAAGAAGTATTATATTTACAAACTACATAGTTGTTTATAGCAATTTATACATAAAGATGAGCATTGTAGAGCTCCGTGGACACTACTGGATCAGAGACCAGTTTCTTCACACTGTCGATGGCAGCAGAATCACTAGGAGGAAGTTTGTTGATAAACCCATTGATTTTCTCAAAGTTCTCGCAGTGGAATACTACACTGTTTATTCAAGACCCTCAATGGGTGACCACTGGACTGGGTGGTAATGGCAGTCCAGTTACATCCTGGTACAAACGCTCCCGACTAGGGCACTTAAAAAGGATCATTTTCATTTTCGAAATGAAGTCGTTTGCTTTGCTATATTCTAAGCGAATACGTTCACATAATCGGTGTCAAGACAAGTCACATGCTTTAGGTTGTAGATGCGCTTGAAATTTGAAAATGATGAAAACATGTAAGATGTTTAATTAATCTGTAACGACAAGCTAAATCTTTTTGTCCTAGATACAACTTGACATCATTGAAAGTTTGGAACACTAGTTGAATTCCAATAATTTTATTTACACTCCAATCATTTTGAATGTTTTCCTATTTGCAGATATTATTAAACTGAAAAGCTAAATAATAAAACAATCCAAAACAATTTTTATAAAAATCCTACAGAAATGCCATCCTTGAAATAATACCGTCTTTCATTGATGACATAGCTGACTCTGCTTCCAAAGAGGTGAACTTAACATCCAATTATAGTACATATTATATAAAAAGAAGCGAAAACCCTAACTGCATTACCATCGTTTATATACAGTATTCAATCTGTACTTCTTTCACTTTTAACTTACAATTACGCTACAATTACAAATAATATGGACTACAGTGTACAGAAAATGCAAAAATAAATAATTAAATGTATTTAATTATATGCAATTAAGCAGTTAAAAGCAATATTGTTAATTTAATCAAGCAGAAATTATTCGGATACACAATCAGACGTACTCGATAAAAATAGTACGAACAATACAACAGTCGTGTGATAAGGAGATTAACAACTTTTTTTACGTTCACAAACAAAACTATATTATCTATTATTTTATCTTATGACGTTCTTTATATTCGAAACAGAAACTAACATACAGAAACACCCCCAAGTTTTATTTACTTATTTATCATTTCTATACTTTTTAAGATCTCCATAGTCCAAAAAATGTAAAAATGTTTCGGGGGTGACTTTTTTCATTGTAAATTCAGTAAAGGTAGAAAAATCATAGGCCATTCAGTCATTTTACAAAAAAAATACGTGTAATTAAAACACTAGTTTCGGTGGTTGTATCTAAATACTGTGAAGTATTGTTTACTGTAGAACGAGAATTACGAATTACACATAATTATTGTTTTATACAAAGAAAAAATAATTAAATTTACATATTTTAAAATATATTACGCCTGCAAAAATAAAGAACTATTTTTTCTGATTATGTCACAATAGTTGTGTGGTCCACTAACAGTTGAAAAGAAAACGTCGGATAACGTAGTCAGATAATTCATTCACTCTTGATTTAGTTTAAGGTAAGAAATAACGCTAAATAGGTGTAATTACCTCTTAGATTTTATATTTTCTATTAACTTTACACTCCATTTTTGTGTAATTTCGTAATGGCTGCAGCAATATTAGAAGTTTGCTTCTGATGGTTTAGTTCGTTCTATCTTTCCGGTTGGTGAAATTATAAATAAAACCTAAAATTTAATAAGTATTTTTGAAACATAATTACCATTATAACAACTATAATTGTTTATTTTAAGTTAAATTAAGTTTTCAGTAGTCATGTTTATCTCTCGGTGTAATCGTTCAATGCTCGATTACTGATAATACAACGGTTGATAATGTTATTATTAAAAAAATTCTTATAAAGTATCAAAAACACTTAGAAGTTGTATAAAATCGGCCGCGGTGTAGTGATTATAATTCCTAGAGACAGATATATATATATATATATATATAAGTATGTTTAATAAATTCACAGAAGTAGGAGACCGATACAATAAATTTCACTAATACAATATGTTCTAGTAGACATTTATATAA